GGCTACCCTCTTGGCGGACACGGAGGCCTTCTTCGACCGCCTGCTGAGGAAGACCTGGGCGCTGCGCGTGGTGGACCCTGCTGCCCGCCAGATCTTCGAGCAACGCATGCAGTTGTTCGCGGACCCGCACTTCGATGACATGGTCGATTGGGTCCTCGAGCAGGCCCGGTGTAAGGGCGAGGCCTTCGCCGGCGATAGGAACAGGAGCTGGACTGAGTGGGCGTCGGCCAGCTTCCTCAATGGCGCAAGCAAGGCCCACCGTTTCTCGAAGGCGAACGCGTTGCAGGATGCGGTGGCGATCCGTACGGGGGAGCAGCCGTACCAGCTAGCCGACGATTGCCTCGACGATTGGACCACGGTGTGGAAGGCGCGTGGCTGCCGGCGCTTGGAGTGCCCTCACGAGGCCAGCCAGTGGCCATTGCTCCCTGCGATTGGCGAGGCTGAAGTGCGCGCTGCTGTCCTGAGCTTCCACGAGCGCACCGCTGTCGGGCCGTCGATCCTAGCCCTGCGCAGCTTGCAGGACTTGAGCGATGCTGCTATGCTGACGCTTGCCATGCTTTTTATGAGGTGCGAACTCTGCTGTACGTGGCCGTCCGAGAGAGTCTCGACGGAATTGGTGCGGCTGCCCGACCCCGATAAGCCAGGAGAGCACCGCCTCATTGCAGTGCTGCAGACGCTCATCAGGGTCTGGGGGAGGGTCCGTCGGTCGGTGTCGGTCGAGTGGGAGGGGAGGAATCGCAGCGATCTCCTCTGGGGTCCGGCTCCGGGCGCAGTAGTACAGATTGCGCCTTCTCCCACATTTTTGAGGCCGAAGTGGCCCGCCACACCGATCAGCATTTCGTGTCGGTGCTTCTTGACATGGTTAAATGCTACGAAATGATCCTCCTGCCGGCCGTGATGGCAGAGGCTGCTGCTGTCGGGTTTCCGATGCGTCTGGCGTGGATGCTGATGTGCGTCTACCAGCAGCCTCGGCGCATCAAAGGATTCGGATCCGTGAGCAAAGCTTTCGTGTCCTTCCAGGGGATATTGGCCGGGTGCTGCCATGCGACGAACCTTGATGCAGGTGATCCTTCTCCGGCCGCTCCAGCGTATTCGTCGCGAGCTTCAGTTTGTCATCCCAAGATGCCTCATGGACGATGTGTCCTTCCAGTGGATCGGGAGGCTGGCCAGACACGCGGGGACAGTTTTCAGTTCAGTCTTAGCCGTTGTGCGGGACACGCGTGACCTCGGGTTTCGTTTGCAAGCCACCAAGTCTGGTTTCCTGGCTTCGTCTAGGGAGGCCGCGCGGGCGGTCAAGGTGCACGCTGCGATGTGTAAGCTTTCTGCCTTTCGGTTTGCGCGCAATCTAGGGCACGATTCTTTTGCGGGTGGCACCGCCCACGGAGCCCAGGAGAGGAAACGTCTGAGTGTGGTCCTGGGTCGCCGGGGTAGGCTTCGTGCCCTGAAGAGGGCTGGGGGGTTGAAGGTTCGGGCTCTGTGGCGGACAGGTGTCATGCCGGCAGGTAGCCATGGGGCGGGGGTCATCGGCCTCACCGATACCACGCTCATGAAGCTTCGTACTTTTGCCGGCGAGTTGGTAGGCGCGCGCAAAGGCCTGTCCTCCTTGACGGCCTACACGCGCACGCAGAAAGACCGGTTGTACGACCCCACTTTTGATGCCACCTGTCCCTTACTTGCCCGCTACGCTAGTTGGATCTGGGATGGTCGCACCTCCCCGTCCCAGCTCCGTGCCGCTCGGCAGGCCATTCACTTTCGACTTGTTCCCAAAGGATCTTGGCGCATGTGTTTTGGACCGATGTCGGCGGTGATCTTGTCCCTCCGGCGGATTGGTTGGGACATGGCGGCGCCCCACGTTTTGCTCTCGGATCTAGGTGGTGCTGTGTCCCTCTACGAGTTCTCGCCGTCGGAGGTCCGAGCTCTGGTCCGAGACGGCGTGGAACGCTGGCTCTGGCGCAGGATCCCGTTTCACTGGCCAGAGGCGGCGGGCGCCGAAGACGTTTGGATTCGAGCGATGCGCTTCGCCGTGCTGTCCCTCCCAGCTGGTGCCCGACAGGGGTCGGCGAGGGCCCTGCTGTCCGGAAGTATTTGGCCCCCCGAGCGCAAATTGCAGGCCGGCCTGTGCGCGTCGGGGAAATGCCAGTTTTGTGGTGCTGAGCGCGGGACGCTCGGCCACTAGTTTTATGATTGTCCCTCGGCCTTTACATCGCATGAAGATTGAAGATGAGGATTCGCAGCCGCCGTTTCCAGAGGATGTTTGGCAGCGCAGGAAGAGCCTCAGGGAACAGGGCATCTCTCCCCTGGGGGGCTCGGATTGGGATGTGTCTCCCCTCCTCTATGGTCTCCCTCGAATCCCTGTAAGGCTGCCGCCGCCGCTTCCTCACCCTCCATTGCTGAATTGGGGTGTTACTCCAGGCACCTGGGGCCCGACGCTCTTTGCGGACTGTAGTGGTCTGGCTGGCGCGTGTCCCGAGGCGGCTCGGTGTGGTTGGAGCGTGGTTGAAGTCACGGCTGACGGCTGGCCCCTCCGAGCGAAGTTCGGAGGGCTGCCCGGGCTCTTCCAGACAGTGCCACGGGGAGAGCGTTGGGCCGGCCTGGAGGCCATGCGTTTGGGCCCGCCAGATGTCACCATCATTAGTGATCATTTGAATTTTGTTCGTGAGGGCCAGGCTTGGGACGCCGGTCTTGAGTCGGGCCTTTCGCGCAATGCTTCCATCTGGAGGAAGATCTTCAGAGTGTCGGAGAGGTCTGGTGGCAGGCCGGCTTTTCTCTGGACTCCAGCGCACAGGACGCTGGAGGAGCTCGTCGAGGCGCAAGCGGCGCCCGACGAGCTTTGGCGGTTCATGGGCAATGCGTGGGCCGATTTTTTCGCCAAGCTCGGAGCTAAGGATGTGGCTGTGGCTGAAGTCGCGATCAGTGCCCTTAAAACGAGGTGCGGAAGTGTAAGCTCACGTTTGAGTTTTTGTCGCGGGCGGTTCAATTGATTTGCTCCCGTCCCGAGGCCCAGCAGTGTGATCCACCTCCTCCTCCTCCTCCTCCTCAGGCTGTAGAGCGCAGGTGTGATAAGCTTGTTCTGATCGCGCACGATCCTGTGCCCCTGGCCCCTGGCTTGCCGACCGCGGTGCAGTGCAGGCGCTGCTTAGCTGTGGCTAAGACCCCTTCCAGCGTCAAGACGCTCCTGAAGCCAGGGGCCAAGTGTGCTCCGCCTCCCATGCTCCAGGCCTTGGCCCAGGCCGTGGAGCAGATGGGATGGCGGTCCCGTGAGGGAGGGAGGGGCGTGGCGGCGGAGATGGGCGGACTTCTTTTCGAGTGTGATGGCCACCGGGTCCATCGCACGGGGCCGTTCTTTTTCTGCCTCCGCTGTGGGGCGCGGGTGGCAGTCGGCTCTCCCAAGATCGATGCCCTCGGGGAGGCCTGTCCCTCGGCCCCCCCGAACCCCGCCCGTCGGCGTGCCAGGGAGTGGCTCGCTGATGGCAAGCACCCTTCTACAGGTGCTGTGTTGAGTACCTAATTCGTTGGGTTTCTCGCTGGCGTCGGCGGCTTTACCGCGCCAGCATTTCACTAACTGTATGTTAGTGCGTTTTGCATCTGAGTTTAAGGTGTGCCTCCATATCATGTCCAGGCTGTGTTTCGTTTTCGGATGACTCATTGTCCTATGGCTCCGCTCCGCTCCTCCTCCTCCTCCTGGTCCTCCTCCTCCTTCTCATCTCTTCTCCTCCCTGACCTCATTCCAAAATTGAGTTGGTTGTTGTCCCTCCTCAGTCCTCTGTCATTTTCCAGGGGGCGGATGAGAAATGGAAAGGGAACTGGTGAGCAGGGAGGAATGAGGTAGGACTTTTTTTTGGGGGGGGGGGCGAGTGGGGGAGAGCGAGCAATGAGAGAATGAAACATTTGAGGGAGGAGGGTCGCTGAGGAGGGACGGATGAGGGGGAGGGATTCGGAGGGTGCAGACCGGGTGGAGTTGAAAGGTCAGTGGCGAGACGATGCAGGAGTAGGCCGTTTGATGCTGAAAGTGGCGCGGAGGATGGAGGAGGATTAAGTGGAACAATAAGAGGAGGAGCAGGAGGAGGAGGTTGATGAGGAGAAGGAAAAGGAAGAAGAGGAGTTGGAAACAGATACAGGAGGATGAAGAGGAGGAGCGGCAGGGGAGGAGGAGGAAGACGGGAGGATCAGGGAGAATGGTGGCGAGGAGGAAGTGAGAGGGACGAGATGGGAGGGGTATGATGTAGATGATGATGGTGATGATGAGGATCATGATCATGATCATCATCATGATCATGATGATGGTGGTGATGATGCTGGTGCTTATGAAGGTGATAATGATGATGATGATGATGATGATGATGATGATGATGATGATGATGATGATGATGATGATGATGATGATGTTGATGATGATGATGATGATGATGGTGGTGGTGGTGGTGGTGGTGATGTGGTGGTGGTGTGGTGATGTGATGATGATGGATGGGATGATGATGATGACGATGATGATGATGATGATGATGATGATGATGATGATGATGATGATGATGATGATGATGATGATGATGATGATGATGATGATGATGATGATGATGATGATGATGATGATTAGGAGGAGGAGGAGAGGAGGAGGAGGAGGAGGAGGTGGCGGGAGAGAATGCCGACGATGACAAAACGGAGCGGAGGGAGGGGGAGAAGGAGGAGGAGAGGGAGGCGGCGGGATAAGAGGGGGAGGGATTGGAGTTGGGGGGGGGTGGCGGAGCAGGGATCAGGCTAAGGAGGAGGAGGAGAACTCTGAGATCCGACGTTGCACATAAACGCAGCATCGTGAAAAGTCACGCCGGGATCCCCAGACCGCATCTTTCTGCTGTGTTTTTTGTTCATGCTGGATCGATATGTGAGGGTCCCGCGGCCCGAAACGGGGCGAAGACGCCTGGCGTGACAAAGAGTGCAACGATGCAACGCTCGGATCCGAGGGGAGGAGGATGCGCTGTCCCTCCGTGCCAGCGGCGGCGAAGGCGTCGGCCGCCGACCGCCCCCGGAAGACTAGCCAGGACGCGATGAGGGACATGCTGCAGGGCCTGGGGCCGCCTGGGCGTGCCAGCGCGCCCGCCGGCTTCCGGAGAAACAACAACGAAAGCCCCGCGGCCTTCTGCGCCCTCCTCCTGTCCCTCCTCCTTCGTCCTCTCTTCCTCTCCTCCTCCTGCGTCCTGCTCCTCTCTCCACCCCCCTCCTCTCTTCCTGTCCTCGTCCTCCGTCCTCCTCCTTGTTGTTTGTTCTCGCGAGGTCTGTTCCAACACCTTGCCGATCACCTCCTCAAGCCAATCTGCACATACGGCTTGAAGGTGACGTACGAAGAGACAGTGCCTGCGGATTTGCAGCGAATCATAAGGGCCTAAGGGCATATTTTCATGGACGCCTCTTCTTTTATGCATGTGATCAAAGAGCTCAGCAGAGCTGGGTGGGGCATTACAGTCTCGGGAGGCGCTGGAAGTGCCTTTGTGCCGTGCGCAGTCCTTACCCTCAGACTTCCCAGGCTTGGGAGAATGCTGGTTTTTCGGCCAGCGGACTCAATCTCGAAGGGGCATCCGTGGGGTATCCGGGTTCGGCCAACGTGGTCAAGACTTCCGCCGTGCCCCGCAGCAGCTCTCGCCCAAGCGACCTTTTATGCTGGGATGGTCCTCAATGGATGCAGTCCTTTGTGGTCCAGTGCCCAGAGCTCACGTTATAGACGACGGCCAGCTTTCAGAGCATTTCCTGTTATGATGACAGGCAATGACTGTGCCGACGCTGCCCACAAGTTGGGTGCCCTTTTACACCCTCAGCCCAGTCAAGCTGAGCGCAAAGCTGTCGACATCCCGGTGGCTATCACTCGCACAGTCTGTTGGCGCGCCTCTTGGGTTTAACTGTCGTGGCCGAAGTTGGACCAAGATGCAATCGAGCTGGCATCCGTTAGGCGTCCCGAGCTTCCGAAGGCCCCCGGCTTCTTAGGCCCGATTCCGAGGCGCCAGGAGGTGTAGCGTTTTTTTGAGGTTCCGCCGCCCCTCCCCCCGAAGCCGGCTGCTCGGGTGAGGCGCCGCGGGCCTTGAATCAGATCGCTCATCTCGGCCACCGCTTGCTGTGCTGGGCGTGCTCAGACGGATCGAGCCCTTTATTTTGCTGATGTTTGAAGTGTTACACTGTCCTTGCCCACCTTGGAGGGTCCAATCGCCTCCGGCCTGTAGGCCGCGGGACAAGGAGTCGGTGGTTGGACTTAATGTATTCTGCAGGTGGAGAAGGATCCAGCGGGGATTTCATCCCAAGCGCGGCGATGTCGCAGTTGACGTGCCGCTCCCTCTCTCTCTCTCTCTCTCTCTAGACGACTCTGGCGGTCAGCCAGTCAGTCAGAAGCTTTGCACCAGACGGTGCTCTAGCAGAGATGGGAACATGATCGACCCACGAACCCATAAAGGAGCATAGACATGTAAGGCATGGCCACGTTTCAAAGACACCTGATTGGGCGACGGGCAAATGCAATGCTGAGTGTATCGATCTTGATGCACGGTGCCGAGAACTGTGCTGTGCTGCGCCGTACTGACTTGAGATGTCCCATGCCGCGATTGTGCTCTACAGCGTTGTGGATCGAGTCCTCCTTTGCATCCGATTCCTGACCGAAACGATCTGGATCTTGAGCTCGAGCTGCCTGAGCACATAGTAGCTGCCCCAGAGTTCATTGACAGGGGGGACATGCCAGGAGGACGCGCCGCGGAACGTCCCAAGGGATGCGCCAGGCGATGTGCCAGGGGACGTGCCACGGGGACGCACCGCGGGACGCACCGCGGGACGTGCCAAGGTGACGCGCTACGGAAGGTGCCAATGGACGTGCCACGGGACGTGCCAATGGACGCGCCGCGTGACTTGCCAGGGGGACTTGCCACGGGACGCGCCACGGAACGTGCCAGGGAACGTGCCAGGTTGCAATGCTGAGTGTATCGATCTTGATGCACCGTGCCGAGGGGTGCGCTGTGCTGCGCCGTGCTGAGCTGCGATGTGCCATGCCACGATTGTGCTCTATAGTGTTGTGGATCGAGTCCTCCTTTGCACCCAAGTCCTGACCGAAACGATCTGGATCTTGAGCTCAAGCTGCCTGAGCACATAGTAGCTCCCCCCAAAACTAACTGACAGGTGACCATGCCAGGAGGCATGCCTTTGCTTTCGGAGCAGAGTTGGAAGATCCTTCCTTTCGGAGCAGATTTGGAAGATGTTGCTCATAAGCTGTTCCGAGCTTGGAACTGACCCCAAGTCGGCCTCTTGCTTTTCCGTTCCCGGCTGCCGGGCAAACGGCTACTGGAATGGCGTCTGGGCGCCCACCTGGCCTCGACGAAAAGCAAAGCTCTCTCTCTCACACACACATATATATATATATGTATATATGTATGTATGCATGCATGCATGCATGTATGTATGTATGTATGCATGCAGGCATGTATGTATGTATGTATGTATGTACGTATGTATGTAATGCTTGTATGTATGTATGCATGCATGCATGCATACATGTATGGATGGATGGATGGATGGATGGATGTATGGATGGATGTATGGATGGATGTATGTGTGTATGTGTGTGTCTGTATGTATGTGTGTATGTATGTATGTATGTATGTATGTACGTATACATGTAATGTATGTATGTATGTATGTATGTATGTATGTATGTATGTATGTATGTATGTATGTATGTATGTATGTATGCATATATGCATATATGCATGCATGCATGTCTGTTATGTATGTATGTATGTATGTATGTATGCATGCATGCATGCATGCATGCATGGATGGATGGATGGATGGATGGATGGATGTATGTGTGTATGTGTGTATGTATGTGTGTATATATCTATGTATGTATGTATGTATGTATGTATGTATGGATGGATGGATGGATGTATGTATGTACGTATGTATGTATGCATGCATGTATGTATGTATGCATGTATGTATGTATGTGAGTGTGAATGTGTGTATGTTTATACACATGTACATACTAGAACCATCGCGCGCGCTTCGCGCGCGCTCAGGTTCTAGCCCAGGCTGGGAGTCTTGGACAGCGCTATCAAGCACAGGCGCGTGACATAGTCGTGCCTCCCGAGGGCCTCTTGGGAACCTCTTTTGTCTTCGTGGGGGCATCTGAAGGGCTTCTGGGGGGTTCTCCGTGCTTCCTCAATTGGCTGTTGGAGGTATCTCTTGGGTGCTTCTCGGGGGGGGCATCTTGGGGTTTCTTGGGGTCCTTTGGGGGCATCGTCAGGGTTCTCCGGGCAGTCGGAAAGTGATGTTCTGCAGTCTGAAGCAGTCAATTTGCCGTTTTGGCTGCGTGGAGGCCCGGCTTGAGGCCACGTTGGGGCAATCCAGAAGCCTCCCGGGGCCTCCTTAAAGCAATTTTGATGCTGGGGGGCCTCGTCGGACCACTTGGGGACTCTTGGGGCCTCCTGTGGGCCTCTTAGGGCGGAAAGCTCTGCTGTTGGGTTCGCGTTCCCCTTCTTGGGGCTCTATTGGGGTCCTCTTGGGGCCCTCTCGGGCCGTCTTGGGCGCCTCGGGCACCGTCTTTGGGCCCTCGTGGGCCGTCTCGGGGCCCTCTTGGAGGCCTCTTCGGAATCTTGGAGCGGTCTTGGGGGCCACTTGGGCCGTCTTGGAGCGTCGGGATGCCAAAAGGCTGGGGACTCGAAAATCCATCAAAAGCCGATGGGAAAACAATGCTTCTTGAAACCTCTTCGGCCTTATGGGGAGCTTCGTGAGGGCCTCTTGCATTCCATTTGGGGGCCTCTGGGGCTTCCTGAGAGCCTCTCGGGGTGGAAAGCTTAGATTCTCGGTTCTTCTTACCCCTCTTGGGCCCCCCTTGGGGCCGTATTGGTGCCCTCTCGGGCTGCCTTAGGCCCTCTTGGAGGCCTCTTGGGCTATCTTGGATTGGTCGTGGAGGCCTTTTGGGCCGTCTTGGAGCGTCAGGACGCCAAAAGGCTGAAAACTCTAACATCAATCAAAAACCTATGGCAAGACATTGATTTTTGCCTCTTGGGGCCTTCGTGGGAGGCCTCTTGGATACTCTTCGGCCCCCTGGGGGGCTTCTTGGGGCCTCTTGGAGCCTGTTAGCGGCTTCTCGGGGCCTCCTGAGAGCCTCTCGGGGTGGAAGGCTCGGATTTTCGGTTCGTGTCAACCCTCTTGGCTCCATCTTGGGGCCGTCTTGGGGCCTTCTCGGGCCGCCTTGGGCGCCTCTGGCGCCGTCTTGGGACCCCCGTGGGCTGCCTTGTGACCGTCTTCGAGGCCTCTGGGGATGCCTTGGAGCAGAAATTGAAGCCTCTTGGGCCGTCGTGGAGCGTCAGGAAACTCAACAGGCGAGAACTCGAAAATCAATCAAAAACCAAAGGCGAGAACTCGAAAATCAATCAAAAACCAAAGGACAACAAATTAGTTGTGCCTCCTGGGGCTCCTTGGGAGCCATCTTGGAGACCTCTTGGGGCGTCTTGGAGGCCTCTTGGACAGTCAGGGACCAATTCTAGGGTGATATCGGGCGGTCATTGGTCGTTTTCGTTATCTGGAAACGCCATTTCTGACAATCCAGGGCCATCTTCGGGCGACTTTACAAGGCCCCCAGCGCCACGGTAGGGCCCCCGGGCCCCCCGGTGCGAGGGCCCCGTCCCGGGCCCCGCCTCGTGCCCGCGGCAGGGCGTCCTTGGGCCGTCTCGGCGCCCTCGGGGGGGCCTGTTGGGGCGACATTGGGTGTCTGAAATCCATCAAAAACCTAAGGACAATCAATGATTTTGGCGTCCCTTTGGGCCGTGTTGGAAGCCTGGTGGGCCGTCCGGAGGCCATCTTGGGCGTGTTCGAACGATATGTCCTCGTTTCGGGGCCTCTTGGGGGCCTCCTGCGGCCCTTTTCGTCTGTGTTGGGGCTTTCTTGGGCCGTCTGGGGGCGGCCCTAGGCTGTCTCGGCGGCCTCTTGGAAGCTTGTTTGGAAGATTTCTGGGTGTCCTGGACCGTCCTCCTGCAACGTCGGCGGCACTGGCCGTAAGACTCCCTGGGAACATGATTTGTTGGGGTGTCGTTGGGCGCCTCCGGAGGCTTCAGGGCCTGACGCATTTACGAGCGTGGCGGCAGGTAACGCTGCTTGGCACCCTCGTTTTTTTATCCTGGCAGGCGTTTAGGGAACATGGTTTGGGGAGAGGGCGGCAACCCCAGAATCATGTTCCCGGGAAGCTTTCCGGGAGGATGATTTGTCCGGCTCTCTTAAGAGGGGGGCTTCTGGGGGCTTACCAAGGGACCCTTTTTGGCCTTGTCGGCAAGCCTATTGGAAACATGGTTGGGGCGGTGGGCGGAAGCCCAAGGAATCATGTTCCCGGAGAGCTCTGGGAAATACGATTTACCGAGGTCTCTTGGGGGCCCGCAGGGGGCTTCCCTGGGGGCCCCTTGGGGGCTTATTGGGGCTTCTTGTGAGCCTCACGGAGCTTCTCGGGAGCCTCTTGATGGCCTCCGGGGGCGTCCTAGGAGCCTCTCAGGCCGGAGACCTTGAAATGTCGCGCTCTTCGGGCCCTCTTGGGTCGCTCTTGGGGCTCTCTTGGGGCGCTCTAGAGGCCCTCTTGAATTATCTGGGGAGCCTCCTGGGCCGTCCCTGGTCTTTCTTGGGAGCCTCTTCGGCCGTCTTGAAGCGATCTGAAGGGTCTCTGACGCCGTCCGGGACCGTGGGGAGGCGGAACATGCGAGAGCGCAAAAATGCGGGGCCCTTTGGGGCCTTTGGAGGCGCTCTTGAGGCGTTTTGGCGGTGTCGTCGGCCGTCCTGAGGCCATCTTCGGCGTGTCCGGGGCCTCTTGGGACTGTCTTGTCAATCTTTAGGGCCTTCTTGGCGTGTCGTGGCGTGGTTGGGAGCGGGCCCGGGCAGTCCCGGGAGCCCTGGGGGTTGTTGAATGCTAGGTGTTGTCTTTGAGGCGGAGGCTGTTGAGTGCAGGGTGGCGCGTGCTACGCGGAAGGCGGGCGAGCGGCCGGGCGGGCGGGTGGCGGGCGGGCGGGCGGGCGGATTGGGATTTGAATGAATTCCTTAAG